ATTGTATCCCTGGTGCCTAGGACAGAGCCTAGTAGGCATTGTAGGTGCTTAATAAATGATGGTTGAATTGAAATCAGAGGCCATTGGACTTAGCAATAAGGTCACTGTTGTCCTCAGAGCAATTTTAGTAGAGTGGTAGGTAGGATTGAAAGCCAAATTTTGAGGACTTAAGGAGTAGGTGGTATTGAAACCATGTCACTGGCTGTGGTTCTGACATGGGCGGCCCAGGTACCTGGATGCAACAAAAGGGGACCACCCTTGGCCCAGATGTAGTTGCCAAGGACTGCTTAGGCAAGGTGATGGCTCTGTCCTCTTGAAAATGGAGCAAACAGCCCCACCCCTTGCTGGTTATCATTATATTACCTCCTCCTCACCTCCCAGCTCTCTGAGGGTTTCTTTAGAGGGTACAAATATGGGGAAGTTGGTCAAGAGTTTACCTTTGTAGGCTCTAGCTAGCTGAGGAATCCTACTCTGCCAGTGTCTGGTGGTCTGGTCCTTTATTCCTTACATTGTAATTACATATGCCTAGCTGAAAAGTGCTTGTCACTGGGCTGTCTTACCTTCTCTGTGCCCCGGAGAGTGATGTTCCCATGCAGGGATTCCCACTGTTCTTTATGTGCTCTGGGGAGCTGGAGGTAATTGGGTGCTGATCCTGGACTAATTGAGCTACCATTGAGGCTCCTGGGCTGTTCTATTCTTAGATTTCTGTCTGAACTACACTATTCTGAGGGCCTGTGTTACTCATCAGTAGAAAGAATAAAATGGTGCGGGGGAGGGAGATATTGCTGTAGAAAAGATGAGGAAGTGAAAGTATCACCTGTCTATTGGGTATTCTATTCTTTTAAAAAGTGTAGGAGTGAAGGTGAGGCAAGAAAGGGTTGGAGAGTATTTTGTTTTTGATTTGTAGAAGAGGGGAAACGAGCATTATTTTAGGTAAAAGGGAAGGAGCCAACGGATAGGAAGAAATTGAAGATTCATGAGAGAGAAGGATTCCAACAAGAATTTTGCTGGAATCGGTAAGGTTCCAGATGGGTTAGGAAGGGATAGAATCCAAGCCCAGGTGGAAGGATATCATTTTAGCCTTGGCAAGGAGATGGACATCTCTTCCACTGACAGGAAAGAGGAGAGTGGGTACAGATACAGTAGTGTTTAGGTGGTAAGGAGGGAAATTGAGAAATGCATATCCAAATCTCAGAAAAGTAAGAGATGAGATTATCTTCTGAGAGGGTGGGGTGGTAGTTGGGGCTTAAAGAGACAGGAAGAGATTTGGAATAGTACCTAGGCAATGGTTAGCGGATGAATTAAATAACTGACTGCTAAGCAAGAGTGAAGGTTCATCTAAAACAAAATTGCTTGAATTTGTAATTGGTTAAGTCAGTAGGGTTTAGAGATATTCTGTAGCTCTGATCAGCAGAGAAATCAGATGATTGAGGTACCCAGAGTTGATAGGGGGAGCTGTAGAAACGTGAAGGGCACGAATGATTCTATTATTATGGCTAGTGAATTGTTGAAGTGGCTAGATGGGGGAAACCAGAATAAGGACAATGGATTGGGAAAAGGAGTTAAGGTACCAGAGCTCATCATGGGGTTGAAAAGTAGTTTCAGGGGCAGTTAGGTGGTGTAGTGGATAAAGCACCGGCCCTGGAGTCAGGAAGACCTGAGTTCAAATCTAGCCTCAGACATATAACATTCACTAGTTGTGTGACTCTGGGCAAGTCACTTACCCCTGATTACCTCATTTAAAGAAAAAAGTAGGTTCAGTAGTAGTGAAGGAGTGGGAGAGGTGGGAGGCTGTTATGATTAGAAAGTAGAATTGCAGAGTTTTAGCCTCATGGGATCATAGATTTAGAGCAGGAAGGGACTTCAGAGATCAACCACCCTTATTTTACAGGTGAAGAAGCTGAGTCTAGAGTAGGTAAGTGACTTGTCCAAAGTCACATCCCTAAGTAAGAGCAAATATTAGAATCTACACCTTTGACTGCAAATCCAGAACTCTTCTACTTGCAACAATTTGAGGTGGTATAGTGGTGGGTGATAGTGGCTTCTAAGGTCCATGGCCATGCAGAAGTAGACCAGAGATTGAGATCACCAGAGTTAAAGAAGCAGAAGAATTGCCAAGTTGAAGTTGCATCATTCAGGTGGCAGAGGATGAAGTATAGTGGAGGACTGAACTATATACCAAGAGCTTTAAAGAAGGTTGGGAGACTAACTTGGAGGTCAGTAGTTGATAGCAGCAAGAAGAGAAAGAATGAGAGGGGGACAGGGAGACAGAGACAGAGAGAGACACACAGAGTGAGAGAGACAGAGACAGAGAGAGAAATTGAGAAAGAGCAAACTATAGTCTGATTTCATGAACTTTGAAGAAGGAAAGAGTTTTGATGAAAGAAAAGTAGTAGTGATGATGGAGGAAAAAAAGACATGCTGATACCCTGTAACTTAGAGAATGTAGGAGAAATAACCTACACTGGAGAGAATTTTAAGGAATGGAGTATTAGGGCAAAATTAGATTTCATTTGATGTTCAAGAATATTGGAAAAGTTAGAAGATGTAAGCAAATTTGTTTATGTAAGAAAAAAACTACAACAGCATTTTATGTGGTAGCAAAAAACTGGAAACAGATGGTGTCTGTCAATTGGGAAACATCTGAAAAAATTGAGATGTGAATGTTATAAAATATTGTGCCATAATAAATGGTAATCATAAGGTCATAAATTGAGACCCGGGACTTAAAGCCCATCTTCCTCATTTCATGGGTGAAGAAATTGAGGCCCAGAAATGTGTAGTGACATGCCCAAGGTCACTCAGGTAGTAAGCTTTAGAGGTAAGATTCTCATCCAGGTCCTCTGACTCCAGAGCCAGTGCTCTTTGCACTGTACCATCTGAGGAATTCAGAGAAATATGGAAAGACTTATATGAGCTGAAATAAAATAAAGTGAGCAGAACCCGGAGAACAATGCACACAATGACTACAATAATATAAAGGCAAAGGACATAAAGCAAGCAGAAGGTTGTGTGTATGTTGTAATGAAGAAGAGTTGATGCAGTATATTTCCTCTCTTTTCCTGAAGAGTAGGGTGACTATGGGTGTGGAATATTGTGTGCATTCTCAGATACAGTCACTGTGTCCTTTGGTTGGCTTTCCCTAACTGGTTTTCTTTATCTCAAGGAAAGGCTCACTTTATGGTGGAGGGCTCCCCGGAAATGATTACAGTGTAAAACAAAAAAGCAACAATTAACCCTTTTAACCTGGAGGTTCCAAAGGGCACTTAAGAGGAGTCTGTTAGATGGGCTGGCAGGGGAAGTGGGACTAGAGGAAGTGGAAGACTAAGGTGTGTAGAGATAAAAGTCTGAAAGTAGGTGATAAGGAAATGTAGTTTGTATCTCTGGCAGTAAAACTGAGTGACAGAGAATGGGGAACCTGAAGGTCCCAACCTTCTGGTTGGCTAGCCCAACCTCCTCATTTTGCAGGTGAGGAAACTGAGGCCAACAGGTTAAGACACTTCCCTGTAAGTCACACAGGAAAAGAGGCAGTATGATAGAGGAGAGGCCCATAGAAGTAATAGTTCCAACGTTCCAGGCAGAATGTTTGTAAAGTACAGCAGAAATGACCCTCACAAACCTTACTCTCAGGTAGTACCTTAGGTCTTGACCAATTCAATTCTTCTGGCAGGGTGAGAAGAGGAAGGCTTAGAGACTTTGCCTCCTGCATATCTTGCCCCAAGATGATGATGACAAGGTGGACCTCCTCTTTTGACTAATTCAGAACATCATTACTCTGATTCTGGGTCTAGAATAGGTTGTCTGGTAACATATTTAGAGTATTGAGAGCTAGAAGAGACCTTCAGTAAATCAACAAATATTAATTAAATGCCTACTACATGCCATGCGCTGGGTTGGGTGCTGGGGATACAAGGAAATAGAATGAAAAAAAAATCCCACCTCACAATGAACTTAAATTCTAATATACAGTGAGTACATTTGAAATGTGTGGAACATATATTATGTAATACATATTTATGTGTACAAGTATGTGTATATATATATACATATATATATATATATATATATATATATATATATATATATATATACATACATACTTTCAGCAGAAAAACAAACTTAATAAATACAAATACATACAAAGTAGTTAAATAAGGGGGGGATGGCCAGTGTAAAGACTGGAGATACAGTATCATTTGTGAAGAAAAGAGAGGAGGCCTGTTTGACTGGATTGCAGATTTCATGAGGTGAATTAATGAAACAATAAGACTAGAAAGAAGTCTAACCTTTTCATTTTGCCAATGAGGAAACTGAGGCTAAGAGGTTAAGTGACTTGTCCATGGTCAAACAGTTAGCTAGTAAGCATTGGAGAGAGGTTTTGCATTCAGATCTGCTGATTCCAAGCTCAGGTCTAATACTCCTTCCACTAATCCCATACTTGCTGTAAAATGTTCTTCCAAGGAGCCAAAAATATAGTTGTCCTCCTGTATTCTTATGGAAATAAAGTGGAGAAAAGGGCCATGCTGCCCCAGAATAGTATGGCATGGTGTAGTGTAGTATAGAAGAATGTAGTAGTTATTTATTTGGTCTAGACTTTGGATTTGGGGGGCTTTCTCATAATCTCTCTCCTGTTCAGTTAAAAAGCAGTCTCTTGGGTGGAGGTACGACTAGTAAGGATGTGTTGGTAGAAGGAAGTAGAACTCAGGAATGTATGCTTGCCATGTACTCCCAAGGATTTGATCTTGTATTATTATCTTCCCTTCTTCTTGGAGAAGGGATTACCCTTCTCAATGACCCTGGCATAGCTTTGCATAGGTTTCTCTAGCTACTGAAGCTGATGATTGGGCTTCCCCACAGTGGAGGTAGATCTGTGGGAAGTGGCTGGGGTGGAGAATTTGATGCCTTGGAAAGAAAAGCTATTGAAGACCCTAGTTACACTCCTCTGTAGCTATGAGCTAAGTGCTAGAAAGATTCCTCCTCAACCTTCTTCTGTCTTGCAGGGTGATGTGAGCAGAGCACAGGAATGCCTTATGTGGATCGGCAGAATCGAATTTGTGGGTTCTTGGACATCGAGGACAATGAAACCAGTGGCAAGTTCCTACGGAGATACTTTATCCTGGACACCCAGGCTAACTGCCTCCTCTGGTATATGGACAATCCACAGGTGAGATGAGTCATGAGCCCGTGACTAACCTTATCAGCTTTATCTGGTTGATCCATTATCAGCATGGAGGGCAAAAAACTTGACCCATTCCTCCCTCTCTCCCCATGGAGAAAATATCACAGAATTATAGAATGAAAGGGGTCTGAGTGGTCAGCCCACCACTTATCCAAAGCTGGGACTCAATTTATACTATCCTTGACCAGTGGTCATTTACCCCTCCTCTTTTTTTTTAAATTGAGGCAGTTGGGGTTAAGTGACTTGCCCAAGGTCACAGAGCTAGGAAGTGTCAAGTGTTTGGTCTGAAGCTGGATTTGAACTCAGGTCCTCCTGACCTCAGAGCTGGTGCTCTATCCACTGCACCACGCCCTGACCCCTCCTCTTGAAAACTTCCAATGACAGGGCATTCATTACTTCCTGAGGCAGCTAATTCACTTTCGGACAGCTCTGATACTAGGAAGCTTTCTCCTCATAGCAAGCCAAAGTCTGTCTCTCTCCCTGTAGCCTCTACCGATTGCTCCCAGTTCTGCCCTTCCGGGGCCGAGCAGAGTAAGTCATCACTTTTTCCCATGGCAGCTCTTCTGCGAGCTATCATGTCTGCCGAAGTCTTCTCTTTATCGGGTTAAAATATCTCTACCATCCTTTATATTACGTGGCTATATCCCCCAGCTATTCTGCTTGCCTTCTTCTTAATTCTCTCCAACCTGTTAGTTGCCAACTTTGAACTTCTATAGAAAGGCCACTCATCTGTTGGGATGGTGAGGTAGACCTGTGAGATGCACAGGGTTAATGGAGGTTGTTAGGAGCCTCTGGGGTTCTTGGGGACCAGGTAGAGCAGCTTTTGCTGCTTCTGGCAAGCCTGTTGCCCACAACTATGATTCAACAAATGACAGTCCTAAACAAAAGTCATGTACCAGAGAGTTCAGCAGAATAGGGGAACAAAGGGATGGGATGGTCAGATGCCAGGCCTTAGCTAGGTGGGCCAAGTACAGAGTCAGCACTATCAGAAGAGAGTAAGTGAGATCATACAGCCAAGAGCACACCAGGTGACGAGAGCAGTGTGGTACAGGGAGGAAGGCTCCTACTATGTGCCAGGCACCGTGCTAAGTGCTTTACAAATGTTATTTCATTTGATCCTCATAACCCTGGGAGGTAGGTGCTACTATTATCCTAATTTTTACAGAGGAGGAAATGGAGGCAGACAAAGGTTAAGCAACTTACTCAAGGTCACACACAGCTAGTGTCAGAGGCTGAATTTAAACTCAGATCTTCGTGACTCCAGGCCCAGCATTCTATTTGTCTCTACTACTTGCTACATTTGGCAAGTTAGTTCCCTAATCTTAGTTCTTCCCTTTGTAAAATGAGGTAATCGAATCAAATAATTTTTGTTTTTTTTTTCAGTTAAGAAGCATTTTTTCCTTCGTCTCCCCTCTCCCTTCCCCTGGAAGGAAAAAAGGGCAAACAAAAACTGCACATATGAATTCCCAAACAAAACAAGTTCCTACATTGGCTACATCCAAAATGCATGTCTCATTCTGCATATTTAGTCTCTCACTCTTCTGTCAGGAGGTATGGGTAGCATTCTTCATCTTTGGTCCTTTGGAATCATGGTTAGATCAGATGATTTTTAAGGTAATGCCAGCTATATCTCTATGTACTAATGCAGAGCAAATTCAGCAGAACTAGGAGAATAATTTATTTATTTTTTAGTCTTTTATTTTATTTTTTAAAATTAAAAATTTTATTTTTAAAAATTAATTTATTTTGATTTATCAAGCATCACTTCCATAAGCTTTTGAGTTTTAAATTTTTCTCCCCCTCCCTCCCTCCCCAAGATGGCATGCAATCTGATATAGGCTATACATAGACATTAGGAGAACAATTTATATGATTACAATGACATTTTAGAGGAAAAACAGCTTTGAAAGACTTTAGGACTCTGATCAATGTGTTGATAAACTATGAGTGCAGAGGACCAAAGACAAAACAGAGAGGTGACAGCCTTAAAATGTAGTGAGAGACATACATTTTTGGGAATAGTCAATGTAGGAATTTGTTTTGCTGGACTTTGCACACTTATTATGAGGGTTCTGTTTTTCTTTTTCTTTCTTTCTTTCATTTTCCTTCCTTTTTTCTTTCCTTCTTTCCTTTCTTCTTTCCTTTCTTCTTTCTTCCTTTCTTTTTCTCTTTCTTTTTTCCTTCCTCCCTTCCTTCTTTTCAATGGGGTGGTCAAGGGAAGGGAGTAGAAATAGTGGATAGATTATAAATGTCTGTAAAAATCAGTCAATCAGTAAACATTTAAGTGCCTACTGTGTGCCAGCCACTGCGTTAAGCACTAGGGATACAAGGAAAGAACAAAGTCAGCTCTTACTCTGAAGGAGTCCTCTGTCTAATGGGAGAAACAACATGCCAACAGTTATATACAAACTGGCTATAGACAGGATAAATTGGAAATAATCAACAGAAGGAAGGCACTAGAACTAAGTTGAGAGGAATCAGATCGGGAAAGGCTTCCTGTGAAAGGTGGGATTTTAGCTGTGACTTGAAGGAAGCCAGGAGGTAGAGATGAGGAAGGGGAGCATTCCAGGTATGAGGGACGACCAGAGAAAAGCCTGGCCCCAGACAGTGATCCTATAGACTGGTAGGGAGATGTACTTACAGACAAGCAGGCAGGTGGTAGGACTGAGAATACCTCAAATAGCAATGAGGCTGTACCAACCACTGGCTTTGGGCCGGTGGATTGGAGCCTGGCCCTAGTCCATTCTCAGATTCTTAAAGTCCTAATGGCCCTACAGCTTTGGTATATGATGCTCTCTTGACTCTGGGGAACTGATGCTTTTCCTCACATTACTAAAGTCAGGTATCAGGCTAGCTGGGCCAGATCTAGGCTTCAGGGCAGGGACACTTTCCCCATAGCTTTTGTTGCTGTGGTTCTGGCCCTGTAGCCTCACCTGCTCTTCCAGTCTGGGACCTCTCCCAGCACAGACAATGACCTGGTTCCCTGAGGTGGACAAATGTTGGTCTTGAGAACCATAGACTGCCAGGTCTGGATGGGACCTTAGCACATGGGACCTGGAATGCCAGCCCTCGTATTTTTCATAGGGAGAGACTGAGGCCCAGAGGAAGCTACTGGCCTAAGGTCATATAGATAAAAATTAGAAGGTGACTGATTGTATCTGAAATGGGTGTCTCAAAGGAGAGGAAAGGTAGGCTTTGTGTGTTATCTCTGTGCCTAGAAGTCTCCAGCAGCAGAATTGCTCTGAGAAATAGTTGCCCAAACTGAGCTAGGCTCAAAAAAATCTCTATAGTAGCATTGGGTCTTCTAACCTATTCCTGGGCAGTGGGAAAAGGAAGGAGGCCAGAAAGGGACATTGCTAGATGTGGGGTGGAAAAGTAACCCTGAAAACGGATTGGCCTTTCACCAGAGAGGTCACAGCTGTGTTTGGGGGTCCTGGGATCTGGCTGTGGTTCAGAAGCTTGCAGAAGAAGGAAGCCAGAGTATTGAGTGATAGCTTATACATTATGTGCAGCCATGGGAAAAAGACATGTGTGAGTCACTGCTGATGACCCTCTGGGGCCTAGCTTCTCTATACTTAGTCTTTGTATTTCAGATTTGATAACTGATTAAAGCAGCTGCTGAATGCCTTCTTAAGGGCTGGCCTCTCAGCATGACTTGAATTTAAGAGCAAAATATCTTTGAATTCCCCATTTTCCCTACATTCTGCAAAGCTACCCCGGCTTCTCTCCAGATTAAAACTTGAATTAAAACATGCATTGGAAAAATCCTTGAATGCCTTAAAAAGTCATTATTCCTGGGGTTTAGCTGGCATCTCCAGGCCTTTTCACATGTGTAACTCCCTGGGCAGTTAGGTGGTGCATCGGATAGACTGCTGGGCCTGGAGTCCAGAAGATCTGAGTTAAAATCCAGCCCCAGACACTGCCTAGCTGTGTGAGCCTGGGCAAGTCACTTAACCTCTGTCTTGGTTTCCTCCACCATAAAATGAGGATAATAGCACCTTTCTCTCAGGGTTGTCTTGAGGATTGAATGAGATAATATTTGTAAAAAGTGCTTTGCACGGTGCCTGGCATATAGTAAATGTGTAATAAATACCCATTTCCCCCCCTTCCATCCCTTCCCCTCATCTACACCTTTGCCTTGGCCCCACCCTGCATAACCACTTACGTGGGTAATGGTTGGTGATTCAACAGATGCTGTGGTTTATGGCCTGTGGCCTGTAGAAACAGAGGTGCTTCTGGTGTTTTCCTGTGGAACATGAGACGACAGCTAGGAACATGTCATGGTGTGCTGGTGATAAAGGGGGTAGCGAGTTCTTGTGCCTGCTGCATGTAGCAAGAGCTTAGCTTGGGCTTCCTGCCACTTGGACCAGAAAGGGAACATTTTGAAGCCATCTTCACTAAGAACCAAACCTTGTTTTGGTATGATGACCTTTTGTTCTTGTTCATCAGTTTCCTTTAACCAAATGAATGGGAACCAAACCTGGTGTGTTCCCATTATAACCACTGCTCTGTGCACTACCTTAGAGGGTCGGGTTAGGGAGAGCCTTCCTAAACCCATCTGTCAAAGGAGATACTTAGTGCCATTTGCATATCTTACCCTCCACCTTTCCTTTTCCTTTCCCCTAAAATCTCTCAGGCCTTAGGGTCAGAGATTTAAAGCTTGGAAGAGAACTCTGAGGCCATCTTGTTCAATCCTCTTATTTTAAAAATCGAGGTTTAAGGAGTTGAAATAAATGCCCAGGATCAAACAGTAGTGAACATTCCAGGTAGAATTTAACTTCAGAGTCAGGAGCATCATTTATTTCTCTTAGTTATTCTTTTGGTGTGTAATTCATTCGAAAAGGTTTATTCATCTACAGGACAAAGTTGACTGTTCTCTAGAGCAGTGGTCTTCAATCTTTTTTTTTTTTTAAATCTCCCACTCCATCAGTAAGATTGTTGTTATTTGTCCTTCATTCTTAAAGAGGACCATGACATCAGGAAGA